AATAGACCAGTGTTTCTCAACCTTGGCAACTTTAAGATGTGTGGACTTCAACTTCCAGAATTCCCCGGCCAGCAAGGCTGGCTGGGGAATTCTGGGAGTTGAAGTCCACACATCTTTAAGGTGCGCAGGGTGTGGAACACTGGAAGAGGCTATATGTCACTCTAGATTTCCATGTCTTATGCTATTTGTTGCAGGCTGGAACCTCAAATGGAGAGGAATGTTTAGGTATTGGAGAGATCATGGATAGGGAGGCAGTTACTGAATTCTTCTCGGGCTGCATTTGGCTTCACAGGTCACAAGTTATTCAGGCAGACTAGTCTGGAGTTCAGCCAGGGTTACTCTTATCTCAAATCTTTGCATTTTTAAAACATTCCATCAGTAACCTTGGCTAAATCATTTTGCCTCTGGGCAAAGGTAACCATTAGGTGCACATTTAAGGACTTCCCACCCTTGCATTTAATATTTTATTTGTTGCTCCCGTGTTTTATGTGTATGTTTGCTTAAAAATGATAGGTTTCCATGCTGCAAGGAATCAACGGCTGAACTCAGGCGAGGTGAGATGGTATCTCCATCTCTTGCACTTTCTCCAAGCTGGTGCCCCCTCAGATGTATGGTGATAAACTCTTCATGGGCCATACTGTCTAGGGATGATGGGAATTGCAAACTAAGCTATCCAGAGGTACTGGAGTAGGAAAGGCTGATTTATGATAATTTGGATGCTGTGATGGGCAGGATCTCTCTAGAAAAGCTTTCCTTCAGTTTTCTGGGTTGTCCCTCATAGTTGGGTAGAATTCAGTTCCCTGAATTCTCAGAAATAGCCATTGTCAGCAATTGAGGAAGACAGACACAGATGTTTTCTCACTGTTAGCAACCTGTTCCTTTTAACTTTGGAGATACTGGGGGTGAGCTGGGTTTTTCACTGGGCAAAATCACATGATGCACTAGAGGAGTTGACTCAGTTCTTTTCATACATTTGAGGTAATAGGTTGAAAATGGACTGGATTGTCGAATTGTAAAATTTGGAGAGACCACAAGGATCATCAAGTCCAATCTCTTGCACTGTGCAGGAAAATCCATTAGATGATCCATGAGAGGTTGCTGTCCAGTCTTCCCTTCAAAGATTGGATCAGTCTTTGATGAGATGGACAGTTCAGGATAGGGACTGTTCCCAGAACAGTCTTCCAGATCTTGCTGACCTACATCTCCCGGTTGCCCCAGCTAGCACAGCCAACAATGAGGCATGCTGAGATCTCTATTCAGGAACCCTTGGAGGGCCCCATGTTCCCCACCCCTGACACAGCTCATGGTAGAACATTTCTAGGAGTCAAAGTTCAAACCTCAACATTTTTGGTTGAAAGGCTCTAGTAACAGGGTATTGTTTATTCTTAATCTGCCCAAGATCAACCTGCCTGAGATCCAGGACTGCTATCCTTAACCTGAAGAGACTCTGCTTCCCCCATCTAATGTCCTCCAAAGGAATTGGGACTGCTCCTCCCAGAATTATTAGTTAATATTTGGCCAGGAATTCAGGAGTGGCAATTCCAGCCCATCTGTAGTAAATAAGATAAGCTATGCTTGCTATTAAACAATAAACGAAACACAGATTGTTCAAATAATAATAAAAAATTGTCATTTGCACTTGCCATATCATTATCACCATCAAATAAAATATTCCCACGTTGGACTGACAACTTTTCAGCTGAGTCAATGGCTGTGCTTTTAAGAGCAGGTGACATATGAAAGTTAGCAACAGATAATACTAGAAACTCTTCCCTAAAAACTTCACCACTGATTTCTGCAGATCAAGTCACTTCTAAAGAATGTGGTTAGTCCCTTAGCAATCCTCTTCTCAAGACACCTACCGTAAGTAGCTCGTGTTTCTTCCATGCATACAGTCTCATTCTCAGTACAAATTTGCTCCTGGTTGGTGCAATTTTCCCGAGTCCCCAGGCATTTGTAACAAGTCAGGCCTGAAGCTGCTGAATGCAAAACTAAAAATAGTATTACCACAGACAGTAACTGAACCTTTTTCAAAGGAAAATTGATTTATCCAGAGTATGGCAGAGAACTGATACATTATCCCTATTGCTTGCTGTGAGAATTCTCTCCTTTTAGTTTAAGTGGAGAGGAACTTTTCCCAAACTTGGATTTGCCTACCACAGATTAGGCATCATGTAATATAATATTAAACCTGAGAATCTCTACACTGGATTCCATTTCCCAGGAAATTAAAACCATCATTAAGTGAAGTGAACTCATTTACCCCTGGACTATCTCTTGATTTAGGGTTGGAGGAAAAAGAGTTAGGGTTCCTTATGCTTACACAGGTCGGTTGGGATTACTGAAGTTAGTTCAGACAAGTTCATATGGGATGTAAGCGGACACTTTGCAAAGCTACATAATGCTGATATTACTGAGAATTCCCTACCTGTACAGCATGAAAGGTTTTGTGGGGTGGAGTGGGTGGGTGATGGTGTAGCAAGAAGTATCAGGGGATGGACTCACCCAACAAGCCAAACCTGGGAGCTGTGGCTTGGAGCATCTGGAATGTCTTTCTATCTAGGTACCAAGGAAGGCATCTAAGGGGGCAAATGTATGTTGAGAAGGGTTGGGATGCATGGCTGCATTTCTAACCCGGCAGGGGAATAGCATACCGTCCTTAAGAAAAGAGGATCTGGCGTAGGAGATAATAATGCCT